TTGCCAAACACAACTTCACGGAGATGTTCGTAAGTGACCATTCGACCTCCAGAGTACACTGTGCAAGACAGAGCATTGAAAGGGTGAATCTGGCCCTGTGTTTAATAAAATAAGAGGATGCTTTGACATGGCCTGGTCAACCTCTCTAGCTGTGTCTTTCTCTTACACACCCTAGGCTTCGGACACCTGGTCTTGATGGTTCTCCAAATGGGCATGCCTTTTAAAACCTCAGGCCTTCTCCTGTGTTATCTGATCTTTCTTGAATGGCTTCTCCCTTTCCTGACTTGCTAACTCCTCCCATTCTTTCAATACTCAACTCAAAGAACATGTTTTCCAAAAAGTGCCCTCTGACCTGGCCTCCAGCGTTCTAGGCTGTCATTGCACCTGCCATGCTTCTCTGATCCCCCAGAACTATCCAGGCATGTGTCTAATACGGCATTTATCATCCTGATTAGAAATTAACTTGATTTTCTTGTTCATCTTTCCATCAGACCATGAGCCTTTCAAGGCGGGTTTTGTGTCTTTTCATTACACTATATGCCCTAGTACAGAGCTTGGTCCACAGCAGGCATTTTCACTCAATAAACACGCACAACTTCACTGGATAATTTATTATGTTAAGGTAATTTTTCAGTCAAGTGTCAAACATATGAAATGAATCTTAACTGTAAAACCACAGATGGTGGTCAACAAAATACAAATGAAAAGAAGTAAAACTCAAGACGATAATGGGAAGCAAGGAGAAACTATCAAAAAAAAAAAAAAGAATAAAAAAGAAAAATTGTGAAAATCAGTACATGGTACTCATATAGAGAGTTTTTCTTGATATTTGAAGAAGTTTAATGAAGTATTTTAAGATATTCAAAAACATACAAAGCACCAAAACAGTGACAGTCTAATCACACTTCTGGACAGTTCTTGGTGAATACACTCTAACCTGCTCATCGGGAGAACTGAAGCTTTAAAAACACAGAGCTGGTAAACATTAGTACCGGGCACTTTTCTGATCAAGAGTCCCTACGTATTTGAGGAATTATTATGATTAGAGAAGAAAAACGCCATACCCGTCCTATCTCCTTTTGAAGGCAAGTTTATTCTCCTGTCCACAAGCTGCAAACTCAGCAACTCCTATCTATGTGAGTGCCGCTCTGGAAGCAGAGCGGAAAAGTGTCCTCGTTGGCAGCAGTGTAATTTCAACTACTTTCCTTTCAGAGGGACTAAGGACCCACATAGGTAGCCTGGGAACTGAGGAAGAAATCACCTGTGTTGCATTTACTCTATTGCCAAGGTTGGATTAGACAGTCATCCCTGTTCACTTTCAGATCAACCTGGCCTCTGACACATGGGACAGAGACTGGTGAGGCATTGCACTCAAATATAGTTTAATTTTCAAAGAATGTAAAAAAAAATTTTAAATTTTGCGTTTAAAGTTCCTCAAGTGGAAAAAAATCAACTATTCATCTTTTTCTTTCTTAAACTTAAATAAAAAACATTTTTATTAGGAAGATTTTCAAGCATACAGAAGAGTAGAGAAAAATAATACAATTCCCTATATATCTATCATGGAGATTTATCAATTGCTAACATTTTCACCATATTTGCTTCTTTTTTTTTTTTGCTTAATTATTTTCAATTACATTAGAGACATCATGACAGTTCATCCCTAAATACTTCTGTATGCATTTCTAAAACCCTAAGGCTATAATTCCTTAATAACCTTATATTCATTTATCATATTAGCAGAAGAAAACTAGCTGGCTTTTGAACACAGCTCAACAGGAAAGCAGAGGAGACAAACACAGAACTCGTGACAAACTCACCAGCTAGAATCAAGATAAATACCTATGTGTCTGTAAATGGCAGGTGTCACTCCTTGCCAGAGCTTTAGAAAGCCTTCCTCTTGGACAATCCCCAGGGCCGTGCGCACCATGCCCCTATAGGGAGCAGACTCTCTTGCACCGTCTCCCAACCGAGCAAGGGCAGCTTCTCCTTGTATTTGGAGTCGAGTTTTTGTGAGATCGAGGGGAAAGGTTGCTAACAACAACAAAAAAAACAAAACGAGGGGGAAACCCATAACATTCAGAGAAACAAACAAAATTTTTTAAAAAATCACAGGACCCATATTTTAGTCAGCACAAGATGGGTGATTCTCAAATTTCAGAATACATCAGAATCAGCCAGGGAGGTTGTTAAAAATTACACATTTCCTAGCCCCACGCCTATGGAGTCTCAGTAGGTTGATGGGGTTTAGACATCAGTTGATTCTTATACACTCCCAAATCTGAGAATCACTGTCCCAGAGCAGCCCCAGAGCACCAGAAAGAAAACAAAAAGTGACAAGCCCTTGGGTTCTTTTTCAGTCAGAAATTTCAGTCCAAAACCTACTTTAGTCCTTAATGTTTGCCTTCCAATGTGAATAATTTCCAGTATCCATTGCCTGTGATGTGCCCTGGACTGCAACCATGATTAAGAGCCAATGTGACTTTTAGAATACTGTACTACTTATGACAGGTTCTTAATAAATGCCAGATGAAGCTGAATTCTGTCGTTTCGTGGGTGATGTTTGCATGTAGATGAATCACTGACCTGATGTCTGAGAAAGAGAAGATGCAACATAGGGTTTATCGTGTCTTTTATATCAAAGGGTGGCAGGCTCAATATTCTTTCAATTAAGGAATATGTTGAGTTGGTTTTCCAGCACTGATGAGTTTTATGCATGGCTTCCTTACAAATACCACCTGTACTTGAAAATTTTTTCCCTAATGATTACATCTTGAATTAGAGATAGACCTCTCATCTGAAAACAGAGTGAAGCTAACTGGCTCACATAAGGAAGATCAAGCTCATAACTTTATACACACAATGATTCAGATAAGTTCATTAACATTAGTGACATTACATAAGTCTTTTCAGTGACCACCACCTGATACAAAACCATAGCTATGCCTTTTCCAAGAGAACACAGAGACGGGGGAAGAGAATATTCAGTCTTAACCACTGGTCTTTGGAAAAGTTAATTATCTTGCTGTTGGTTTTTCTAAAACACAAGTTGTGTGCACATAGAGAATTTAAGCAATCCTCTGTTGACATATGAAACCTGAAAAGTCTTAAGATATAGGCACCTCTATATTAGCATAGGTTATGCCTCTTAAAATCACTTTGGTTTTCTTGCTGGTTACTTAAATAATGCTTCAGGTTCTGATCCTAAATCATTTGGTACTCAAAACCATCTCATATTTTGATTCCCCTTCCCCCATTCAATTCTCCATGAAATTTTAACAGGAGGCATGTTCCTTTACAAAAGCCATTGGTCACAGGGGGAACATCAGGTTAAAAAAAACAAAACTGGAAACATACCTAATCATTTAGCAATCTGCTTTTAAGATTTGTTTAAGTTAATGAATTGTATTTCAGTAGAAACAATGAATAATAAAAATTCGCCATCAGCTTTGGGAGAAGAGAAAGAAAAAAAAAACAGAGGGTCCAAAGGGCAAGAGTGGAGGAGCACTAAGGGCAAACAACAGATCTGCCTCTGCTGGAAATACAAAGTACACTCCTTTTAGAACAGGACAAACTAACACTTACACATCCAAGCTATTCCTTTTTTTTTTTTTTTTTTTAACGGGCAAGAAAATGAAAGGGTAATCTTAAAATGCACAGTGAAGGCAGGGAAAACACAGGCACTCTAGTCACAAAATTCTTGGAAGAAACACCACCTGTTCTTGCAAGGGCGTGATAGTTCTGCTCTAGGTAGCCCCTTAAGTTTTCTCTGACTTGCTTATGCAGATGTAACTGTTCATCCTCTCTGCTCTTATGATACTTAATAACATCTTCATTATAATAAGTAGCATAATGTAATTGTCTGTCTCTGCATGTCTCCCCACCAGCCTGTAAGAAGGTCAGGGCTGGGTCTTCTGAACTATATCTCTACTGTCATAATAATGTCGCAATTAGCGGTTGCCTTGCCTTGGCTTTAACGTTTATATATTATTAACTTCTCAGAGTCCTGCAAGGTAAACACAGTATAGATGAGTTCCACGCAAAGAGGTCAACTGGCAGATGCCGAGTGGATGCTCAGTAAGTGATGGGTAACGAACTTAAGTCCCACAGGTTGGGTTCACAACTTGGACCCAGAACACAACGATATAGTGAGGCTGCGTAAGAATATAAATAACAGAGATGACCTCAATAAAGATGAAAAGTGGACTGGGTTTTAAAAAGGGCAACCTCACGAAAGAGAAAATGATCCCTATAGAGGAATGACAGCTCAGGAAGCTTCTAAAAGGACATATTCAGGCGCAATAGCACACCCGAGGGAGACGAAATTGGAAGGAAGAGACCTTCGTGACCTCCAATCCCTCCTCCTTACAAGGTTGGCCTTGCCCCCACCCTGCCACACCTGCAGGACAGGTGTGGACCAAGAGGGCTGCATCCACCCAGAAACGAAGCCACCCGCCCGGCCCCCCACCCCCGCGCGACCCCTCGACGACTCGCGGGGGAGGCCCAGGCTGGACGGCCGGGTACCTAGCTCGGCCACGGTGGCCGCGCAGCCCGACAGGAGGAACTTGCTCGCGCGGGGCCATCTCTGGGCGAGCGGCGAGAGCCTCTCCTCATCCTCCGGAGTCGACATTCAGCAGCAGCACGGGAGGACGATACGCCCCTTCTGGCCCGCGCCCCGCGCCGCGGCTGGCCTGCCACCTGGCCAGAGCGGCTCCTCCTCAACCGGCGAGCGGCGGGGCGGGGACCATTTCCCTTGTTCGACTCCGCCAGATGGGCCCACTGAACCTGCACCCTCTCCCTAGCAGCCTCGGACTTGAGCAGCCCAGTGGGGTGAAATCGGAAAACAACGCGAAGCCCGCGAGGCTTCTGGGAAATGTAGTCCGAGTGGCTCCGCCCCTCCTGGACCGAGTTCTCTGATTGGTCGCGGACGAGCCGCCCGCCGCGCCACCAGCCCCGGTCTCCATGGCAACAGCGCCACTTCTCTTCCTCCACCCCCTGCACCCACACCAGCAGGATCCAGCCCCGTCCTTCCGTCCCGCGTGGCCAGAACTTGAAAGAAAAGTGGGCGTAGGAGGGAGTGATGATGCAAAAGTTACCCAAAAATTGGGGCGGGGAACGGAGGCTACAGTTAGGAAGGCGAACAAGCTGCAAAAGGAACAGCGGAAAGTTGGGAGGTCGGGAGGGTGCCCTGTTCCGGGGGAAGGAGCAAGTACCACAGCAGCGAGACTTTTCCCTTCTCTGATTCAGGAAGGTGCTAGACAAAAACATGGAATTCATTTCCCCAACAGTGGTTATAATCTTAGGTTGTGTTGCTCTTTTATTATTTCTTCAGTGGAAGAACTTGCGTGGACCCCCGTGCATAGGGGGCTGGATTCCTTGGATTGGAGCTGGATTTGAGTTTGGAAAAACCCCTCTAGAATTTATAGAGAAAGCAAGAATCAAGGTATGTGACCTTAGCAGGTGGGGTTTCCGGAAGAGGTAATGTTTTCTTTTTTATTTTCTTTCATTGTATCTCAAGTGCAATGTTAGAACATGGGGAACCTACCTGCTGACCAGAATTAAACGATCTAGCCACTTATGAATTCCTCAACAATCAACAACTGTGTCTTATGCAAGGTTTTTCGAAAGAAATAGATTTTCATCAGTTATAAAGTACAAGGCAGCTTGTAACTGCCTTTTTGGAAGTAGAGATTAAAAGTGCTAGTTACTTCATCGTAGCTAAAAAATCCTAAGTGTATACATATTAACTAAATGCTTGCAATAATTGGGAAGACAGAAGCGTAATACAAGTAATTTCAATTTGCTTAATAAATTCGTATCCAAATCAAGAGTTAACACCAGGCTATTGTAAAAACTGCTTGCAAATTCGGTCTTTACAAACATAGTGGGCACTATATTTTCAGCTGGTGTTGTTATTTGGTGATAACATTTTCACTGTCCACTAAGGATATTAGTAATTGTTGTTGCAGTACATATTTTTATCTTTAAAATAGCTTTCAAATATATCTTTCAAAAATAGTACATAGGTTACTGCTTTTTTTTTCTTTATTTCAATGGACATTCCTGTGTGTATGCTCCTGTGTGTGTTTGTACTTTTTGCACTTACCTGATTGTTTCATCACAATGACTTCCTAAAAGTGAAATTGCCCAAAGGACATTAAATTGTTTATATTATTGTGTTACTCTTGCAAAAGGATGTACAAATCCTTTTTCCTTTTCTTTTCCTTTTTCTTTTCCTTTGAGTGTAGGGGATTTGCCTCGCTCTTCATATCCTGGACCACACTAAGTACCATAATTCTTGTTAGTCTAATAGATGTAAAATAATATCTTTTTTTTAGAAGTCTCTAACCATTCTTTATTTTTCAATACTCACACAATTTATACTCAAGATTGTATTTTTGAAAATCTTAGGGAAAAATACTATCTTTTAAAGAAATACTTCTTTGTCTCCCATAGCCTTCCTTAGGTATATGATTTTGATAAGTCTTAAGGAATGTTTCTAAAAGCTTGTCTCAGAAGGTCAAGCAAGGTCACAAAGATTGTTCTGTTTTCTTCTAAAAGGTTTATAGTTTTGGGCTCCCCTGGTGGCGCAGTGGTTGAGAGTCCGCCTGCCGATGCAGGGGACATGGGTGCGTGCCCCGGTCTGGGAAGATCCCACGTGACGCGGAGTGGCTGGGCCCGTGAGCCATGGCTGCTGAGCCTGCACATCTGGAGCCTGTGCTCCTCAACGGGAGAGGCCACAGCAGTGAGAGGCCCGCATACCGCAAAAAAAAAAAAAAAAAAAAAAGGTTTATAGTTTTGCATTTAACATTTAGGTCTATGATCCACTTAGAGTTAGTTTTTTTGTAAGGTCTACATAAGGGTTGAGTTTCAGTTGGACCTCTGGATGTCCAATTGTTCTAGTATAATTTCTTGAAGGACTTTCCTTTCCTCATTGAGTTGCCTTTGCAGCTTTTCAAAGATTAACTGACCATATATGTGTAGATCTATGTCTAGCCTTTCTATCCTATTCCATTGATTTGTATGTCCACTCCTTTGTTAATACTGCACTATCTTAAATACTACAGCTTTATAGTAAATCTTTAAATCAGGTAGTGAAAGTTCATGTTTTTTTGTCATTGATGTGGCATTCAAGATTATTTGCATTTTAATATAAATTTTAGAGTTGGCTTGCCAATATCTATAATAAAGACTGTTGGAAGAATGTTTGGAAGTTTGTTAAGTCTATGGAAAAATTGAGGGAGAATTGACTTTTTAATGATATTATGTCTTCTAATCTATGAATGCTGTATACCTCTCCCGTTTATTTAGCTATATAATTTCTTTTAGAAATATTCTGTAGTTTTCAGTGATGGTGTCTTGCCTGTGATTGTTAATTATTTTCTGAAATATTTTATATTCTTGAGGCTATTGTAGATACAATTGTTTTCACTTTTGTTTTCCAGTGGTATCCCTCTGGCACATAAAAGACACAATTGTTCTTGTATATTAACTTTGTATCCTGTGATCTTGCCAAATTCACTTATTAGTTCCAATAGTTACTTTGTAGATTTCTTAGGATTTTTATACATACACAATATGTCCTACAAACAGATACATTTATTTCCTGTTTTCTGATCTTTATGCCTTTTATTTCTTTTTTCTTGCATAAATAAAGAGGGACTAATAATATATTGTTGAATAAAGTGATGTGCATAGACAAGCTTGTCTTCTTCCTAATATTCGGGGAAAAGTGAATGTTTCACCATTAAATTTCTTATTATCTGTAGATTTTTTCACAGGTGCCTATTTCAGTCCCGACCTTGATCGATACTCAGAATTCACAGACGCCACCAGGGAAATAAATCATGACCTATTGTCTGTTCACTTCTACACACTTCTCTGTGGAGTTTTAGTCCATTTAGTTCTTATTGTTTCCCCAACTCTCTGATGCCTCTAAAAATATGATCTTTGTAATCTATCCCTCTTTTCTCTCATCCTACACAGAAACAGAAGCATCTGCATGTTTTAAAAGCTGCCAAATATTCCCTGAATCATTTCACTTAAGCAGTCACCTAATGATTGACATCGTTTGTTTTCCATATGTTACTATTGTAAATAATGTAGCAACAAATGTCATTTCTATGTGTGCAAGTATATCTGTGGAGTAAATTATCACATTCAAAGTGTAAATGTATTTTTTAATTTAATTTTTATTTTATATTAGAGTATAGTTAATTTACAATGTTGTGTTAGTTTCAGGTGTACAGCAAAGTGATTCAGTTATACATATGCATATATCCATTCTTTTTCAGATTCTTTTCCCATGTGGGTTATTACAGATTATTGAGAATACATTTGTAACTTAGAGGGAAATGGGAAACTTTGTGAGTGTTTTGAGCAGAGGAGTGATGTGATGTGATTTAAATTTTAAAGGGTCATTTTGGGCACTCTGTTAAAAACAGGAACATAAAACTAAAAGAAAGAAGATAATTCGAAGGTTTGGGCAAGAATTCAAGCTTGAGATCTTGGTGGCTTGTACCATGGTGATAGCAGTGGAAGTCTGAGAAGTGGCTGGATCTGTTTTGAAGATGGAAGCAGTAGGATTTACTGGTGGATGGAATGTGGTGTGTGAAAGAATGAAAAGGAGCAGAGGTGGCTCCCAGAAGTTAGACTTGAGAAACTAGAACATGGACTCACTATCAAGTGAGATGATCAAGATTGCCTACAATGTGGCCCGAGTGCCTATATGTATTACCAAAAGCCACTTTCCTAATGGAAAGTTAAGAATTCTCATTTGAACAAACCTTCAACAATGAACACGACTCATCCTCTTCTAAGTATTGATTAATAAACAATACGAGGTAGGGAATATTGGCAAGCAATGTAGATGTCTGGATCACTAATGGAAGAAAATGAGACTTCACTATTTGGGGGAATCAATGATTACTGGGCCCACAGTTGCCTGATGGCATCCAATGCTGGGTCACGGGAGCTATCACGTGCCATTTCATGCAGATCTGGAATGACTGTAATATTGAAGTACTGATGAGTCTAAATGTTATTTCGAGAGATTTATAATAACTGTAATGGGATATAAAAGTACGGGTGGTTTTTCCAAAAATGTACATGTTGGATGTGGTCTGGGAAAGGAGGAAATGAGAATGAGACTTGGAAGGAGGAAGGTTGTTATACTCACAGGTCCAAGGCGGGGGTCATTGCACGTGATGCAGGGCCACAGGGGAGAGCACCCTGTCAGGAGGCAGAAGATGGGAGCAAGAGAAGGCCCTGGTCAGAGCTTTTATTGGGGTTTGCTCAGGAAAGGCAAGGCGAGGCAGGGTAAACAATTTAGGATTGACTAGTTTGAATCATTTCTGAGGGCTTTGGGCTATAAGGTTGGTCTCCGGGTGCCTGGTGCCTCGCCCTGAGATGATTTAGGGCAAGGATAATATTGGCTTGGCGTGTGAGAGCTAGATCAGGAGGTGGTTGGGGACACAGACTCAAGATGGGTTGGTTTCCCTATGAAAGGCATGCTCCTGGATGGCTGAGTCCTTTGCTGTCTCTAAAAACCGGCTAGCCCTGGGAGGGCTGTCTCTACCCAGTAGTGAGGCCACCAAAGCTGAGCATCAAGAATAAGAAAAGATAGCTAATATAATTGGCCCTATGACAGATGGATGCCAAAAGACACCAAATCTAAGAAAGTGCAACTGGAACAGTAGGTTCTTTTGAGGATAGAGTCGTGGGGAAGATTGTGGTGTACTGCCTCCATTCATAATTGAAGAAAATGTTATAATCAGAGGCCAGTGAAAATAATGATATATTTTTCTCCAAATAAAGTCATGGACTCCCTAAAACCAAATCAAACTCTGCACTGGAGGATGACTGTAGGTTCCTAGGAGCTATCTGATAGAAAAGGCAAAACTGATGGTGTACGAGAGAGAAGGCGTACACATGGAACAAAGAGAGAGTGTGGAACCCATAACACAAGTGAAGGAGGGTGGGCATTTCCCAGGGGCAGGACCCTCCACCTGTGTTAACTCAAGGGGAGGCATGGAGAATGGGTACAAATGGGTACAATTGTCTGCAAGCTCTGGTGGTGAGAAGCTGACAGTGCTCATTTTCCCAGTGAGTTACAAAGCAGGAACACCCTCTCAGAGTGGAGAGGGTTGGGCTAGGTGAACAGGTGGGTCATTTTGGAAAGGGAGAAAGTGAGCACATTACAGAAATTTGGGGATTGCGGGACATTGTTGAGTGACTACAGACTGAAGGTGAAATCAGTCAGCAGTTTATCTTTTTCTTGAACAAAGTTCAACCATAGGTTGTTTCTAACCCTCCTGATAATCTTGAAAACAGGGCTCAAATATCACAGTGTTTGATATAATTTCCAATCATTATTTCTAATTATTATTTCCACTACCAGAAAGGAAGGTACAAGCAAATAATAGCACTATCAAAAGGAAGGTTAAATATTACAACAGAATAAATTAGGATTTTTATAATTTAGATTTTGCTCAAAATTTATAATTATTATATATAATCATAATAGTTTTTATCTTGACCGTGAATTCAGCATTGGGGTTCTTGAGGAACACTGTCTGAAGCATAACCCATGGTCCAGTAACTTATTTATTAGAAATGCTTACTAATATGGTCTGTATTTATGTGTTTTCTTTCAGTATGGACCGATATTTACAATCGTTGCTATGGGCACCCGAATGACCTTTGTTACTGAAGAAGAGGGAATTAATGTGTTTCTAAAATCCAAAGAAGTAAATTTTGAACTAGCAGTGCAAAATCCCGTCTATCGTACAGGTAAACAGTATTCTCAGATGGTTCATTTGAAATACAACATGGAATCCAAGAGCAGTTTTAGGTACCAATCACATCTTCACTCCTCTATCAAGAACGAGGCAGACCCATTATTTTGTTCTTTAGAGTAGGGATAGAAAAGAGTATGTGATGAATTTGGCCCATGTAGAACAAATTATTGGCAACCTGAAACATTTGGATCTCCATTAGATATGTGTAAGAGATGAGGTCACCTCACGGATGTTTACTTGGGAAAATAGTGGCACCTGCAGCCTGTTGCAGCTCCCAAACTGTCACTAACTCTGCTTTGCCGCTGTGTATACAATGTTCTACAGGCTGTAGCTCTTGGCTTTATCTCATGTTGCTACTCTGCTCCTTGAAAGTAGAACTGCACTGCTTAGTAAGCCCTTTACTATGGCATTTCCTGACATAGTCCACAGGGTTATTGAGGTAAGTGGGGCTCAGCTTCATATAATTGGTGCCCTTTCTTTCCCCATCCTCAAAGACTGCTGGACTGAATTTGTCAGCACGCTTCCAGTGTGACTGTCTGCCTTTCTTTCTTTCTTTTCTTTTTTTTTTTAAAATAAATTTATTTATTTTATTTGTTTTATTTTTGGCTGCATTGGGTCTTCGTTGCTGTGTGTGGGGTTTTCTCTAGCTGCGGCGAGTGGGGGCCACTCTTCGTTGCGGTGCACGGGCTTCTCATTGTGGTGGCTTCTCTTGTTGCAGAGCACGGGCTCTAGGCACACGGGCTCAGTAGTTGTGGCTCATGGGCTCTAGAGTGCAGGCCCAGTAGTTGTGGCGCATGGGCTTAGCTGCTCTGTGGCATGTGGGATCTTCCTGGACCAGAGCTCGAACCCGTGTCCCCTGCATTGGCAAGCAAACTCAACCACTGCGCCACCAGGGAAGCCCGTGTCTGCCTTTATTTCTTCCCAGGCTGCAGACATACATGCTGAGGCCATTTGTCCTCCCAAGAATGCAGAGCTGGTTCATTTTGTGCCTGGTTCTTTTCTCTGCCTTCACAATGTCTGTGCTTGCTTCTACCATCTTTTTTCTCCTTGCTTCCCTTTTTGCATCTTTCTTAGGTTCATTTTCATATAGCTTCTTCTTACGCGTTTCTTGCCATTAAGACAAAAAGTTTGTTTTCAAGGCTGTCAGTTGATCGGTAGCATGATGATTGTTTCTTGTTGCTTGCATGAAAAATCACAACATGCTGGTTCCATTTTTTTGACCCTTTAATGCTTCTTGATATTTAGACTATGGAATTCCAGATCAAAGAAATACAAATATTTTGAAGACTCTTGATCTGTAAATTCACATACTCCTTGATAAAAATATACCAACTTACTCACCTATCATAGGTGTATTGAAGTGATCACATTTTTTCACCTCTGCCTCCCCTGGGGACTTGCATGCTTAAATATTTCTATTTAACAGATGAAATATCTTAATATTTACTCTTGAGCCAGCTTCCCATTCCTTTCAGTTATTCCCCTACCACGGAGACAATGCATGCTCAGGAAGTCCACAAATTATTTTTCATTAACTTATACAAAATGTATCCTACATGTAATAGGATGATGAAATATAAAATTAAAAACTATTTTTTGGAAAACTTACTTTGAAGACAATAAAAGAGGATTAAAGAAAAATATAAAGGAATAGTGTAATGAGTTTAAAAATTCATACTCTTGGGGCTTCCCGGGCGGTGCAGTGGTTGAGAGTCCGCCTGCCGACGCAGGGGACACGGGCTCGTGCCCCGGTCCGGGAGGATCCCACATGCCGCGGAGCGGCTGCGCCCGTGAGCCATGGCCGCTGAGCCTGCGCGTCCGGAGCCTGTGCTCCGCAACAGGAGAGGCCACAACAGTGAGAGGCCCACATACCGCAAAAAAAAAAAAAAAGAAAATTCATACTCTTAGCACCCAACCAGACCAGGTGTGAGTATCATGAAAGGAGCGTGAACACTAAGATAAAGGAAACAGTGGGGCTAAAGCTATTGGGGTTAGGAAAGCCCTGCTGGTGGAGGTGATATTCAAGAAGACACTTGAAGGAGAGAAGAAGTTAGCAGAAGAAATGTATGGCTTGTAGGTGGGGGGGTGGGGGGATAGGGGTGGGAGGGTGAGATCGGCCAAGTAGAGAACATTCTGAGCAGATAGAAGAGCTCATGAAAATGCTGAGATGTATAAAAGAGTGTGTGTTTTCAATATACCTGGGATATATGTTTGGAGGGAGAAAGGGCTAGCAATGTGATTGTAGAGCTGGAAAGAGGGTAGAACGCCTTGTAAACTTTGTTAAGGATAGGAAGCCAATGAAAAGTTTTAAACATGGAAACAAAATCACTAGATGTGTGTTTCCCAGAGGCTTCCTTAATCACCCCCATACAAATCATCCCTTAAAGTGAATTACCCTACAGACTTTCACTATCTCACAGTCTATGTTGGATCTTCACCTACTTTTATTTGCAGGAGGTGATTCTATGTACTAGGTAAATTTTGACTCTAGTCTCTGCTGATCAAGCAATAGAGAGGGAGGTCTATTGACTGTTTGCTTCAAGAGGTGGTTGCATAATTCAAAGAGTCATGTACCACAATGTTCATTGCAGTTCTGTTTACAAGAGCCAGGACATGGAAGCAACCTAAGTGTCCATCGACAGATGAATGGATAAAGAAGATGTGGCACATATATACAATGGAATATTACTCAGCCATAAAAAGAAATGGAGTTATTTGTAGTGAGGTGGATGGACCTAGAGTCTGTCATACAGAGTGAAGTAAGTCAGAAAGAGAAACACAAATATAGTATGCTAACACATATATACGGAATCTATAAAAAAAATGGTTCTGAAGAACCTAGGGGCAGGACAGGGATAAAGATGTAGATGTAGAGAATGGACTTGAGGGTGCGGGGAGAGGGAAGGGTAAGCTGGGATGAAGTGAGAGAGTGGCAAGGACATATATACACTACCAAATGTAAAATAGATAGCTAGTGGGAAGCAGCTGCATAACACAGGGAGATCAGCTTGGTGCTTTGTGACCACCTAGAGGGGTGAGAGAGGGAGGGTGGGAGGGAGACACAAGAGATATGGGGTATGGAGATATATGTATATGTATAGCTGATTCAATTTATTATACAGCAGAAACTAACACAACATTGTAAAGCAATTATACTCCAATAAAGATGTTAAAAAAAAAAAGAAATGGTTGCTTCTTTTGAAAAGTGTTTTCTCTGTTTATAGCATCAATCCCAAAGAATATCTTTTTAAAACTGCATGAGAAACTTTATGTCATGGTGAAAGGGAAAATGGGGACTTTCAACCTATATCGATTCACTGGACAACTGACTGAAGAATTACATGAACAACTGGAGAATTTAGGCCCTCATGGGACCATGGACCTGAACAACTTAGTGAGGTAAATAGATGCCTTATTATTTAATTTTGTTTTTTATTTTTTCGGAATAAAAAAAATTAGAAGCCTATACATTGGACTTCACAAATTTTCTGGTGGATTAATGAAGTCTATCTAGCTAGGCAATTAAAAGATGCTATTAATCTTTTAAATTCTGATTAATGGGCAGTTTTCAGTTAGCATTTCAATTTGAAGGTAAGCAAACAGGCCAATAGTATCATTTTAACACGTTTTAATAATAATTTCTTTCATTCCTTATAATTTTGTACGCGCTACATGGATTTTCCTCATATAATTGTCATGCATCCAATTTTGATAAAACATTCAGTGCAATTTGTGATCATTAGAAGAAGAGGACATTGAGAGGAGAGGGAAGAGGATAGAATCAGAAAGTAGATGACAAGGGTCCAGGAGATGTCTGTGAGACTTGACAAGGTGGCTGAGGGAAAGCCACCACGAGCCTCAGGACTGAGCCCAGGTCCTCTGAGAGGGGAGGTACTGAGAGGCAAGCGAGACAGGAGAGGACAGTGGGGGGAACCACGTAGCACTCAGCCATGTTCTGGAGCTTTCTGGCAAACGTAAGGGCTTAGCAGGGAGCTGTGAGAAGAATGCGCAGGGCGATTTGGTAAATCAAAGTTACCCATGAGGCACTTTTCCATCTCAGTGGGATGCTGGAGGCATGACCAACCATCCAGACTCAGAAATACAGCAACATCGAATAGTTTGTTAGGGTTCCAGAAAGAGAGAGCGGAAAAGTGAAAACAAAACCAAGCAACCAATCAACCAAACTTTTAACACGCCCAATATCTACAACAAAACAAAGCAAATTCTTGAATGACTTTGAAACTTGGAGGGAAAGGAGATCCTGAGAAATTTCTGTGAGGAAATGATGGTGAATAAAAATGGAATAAACAGCACTTAGTGTTAGTAACCTGGGGCATATTAACAGTCTCTGATATTCCCTTATTTAAGGACCCCGCGGAAATAATTTTATTCACCTGAGGGAAAGCTTGCTGATGATAGATACTATATTTCAGCCGTTCGGTATAGTTCAAAGTTATAGGATCCTGGGAGATACTAGGAATTTGGTGACTAATATTGCCCTTGATTCTTCGTTTGGTTATTTTTGGCTGCTGTCTAAAGGTACGAACTGTATCTCAGTTATCGTTATTATTTGCTAAATAAATGCTCGTTGAAATCATATTGAATCGAGCTCTTTCTGTGTGTCATCTCACATTTGTCAGGATCTAACAGTACTTGCTTAGAAAGCATTTGAAAATCTTCAGATAAATAAGACCACAATTTCAGTTACCCCTAAGTTATCTTGAGCACAGAAAGCAAATATTAAAACCTCTTAAGAATGACTTCCCCCCCCCCACAAAAAAAATATATCACATATGATTGTCTACCCCTAATATATAGCTATTCAATAATGCCTTCTTTTGTAACCTATGCTTTTCTTCTGTGGTCATTGGTTCTGACGTTTTATGTGTTTCTATCTTTGTAGGCATTTCCTTTACCCGGTCACAGTGAACGTGCTCTTTAAAAAAGGTCTGTTTCCCACAAATGAGAGGAAAATCAGGGAGTTCCATCAGCACTTTCAAGCTTATGATGAAGGTTTCGAATATGGGTCCCAGTTGCCAGAATGTCTCCTCAGGTAGAGAGTTGTTTCCTATGTTAATTCCCCGATCAAGCTCTTCTCAGCTATTCATACATTTCTCTCCTTTCTTTGTTCTAAGTAGCTATAACAGCAGTTTAAGTGGAAGAGACAGAAGCTATTTCTTATGACCAGTTTGTGTGTGTGTGTGTGTGTGTGTGTGTGTGTGTGTGTGTGTGTGAATTGAGGGAGGAACTGAAGAGAGATGGATGATTTCCTCTTATTCTCATTTTGAGGAACAAAAACAAGAAGGAGAGGGGAGAATATGAGAATGAAGTGAAGAATCTATTTTGAGGCCTTTTATGCCATTTACAACTTCTTATTATCACAGTCATTGCTACATCATCAAGTGTGACCCGTGTCAGAATCCAAAGTCCTTATTCTCCCTGAGGCAGAAGTAGGTGTGGTCAAATGTATTTCTCACAGTTGGCTCAGATAAGTTTATAAAACGGTTTGATTGCAAAGTAACACATGATATTTTAGTTTCTTGGCAGTTGGTCTGAAATGATGACTGGTCGGAAAAGATTAAAGAGCTTTTAGTCAGTTTGCTTTGCCTCACTTAACCCAGCAACGGGTCTCTGGGCTAGATTTTGATCCTGCTGTGACTGACAACAGCCAGAGCAAACTTAGACCAAGCAAATCATGAGCCCTGTTTTCTCTCTTTTTTTGTTTTTAATAAATTTATTTATTTATCTTTGGCTGTGTTGGGTCGTCGTTGCTGTGCACGGGCTTTCTCTAGTTGCAGTGAGCAGGGGCTACTCTTTGTTGGGGTGTGTGGGCTTATTGCAGTGGATTCTCTTGTTGCGGAGCATGGGCTGTAGGCACATGGGCTTCAGTAGTTGTGGCACGTGGGCTCAGTAGTTGTGGCGCACGGGCTTAGTTGCTCCGAGGCATGTGGGATCTTCCCGGACCAGAGCTCGAACCCATGTCCCCTGCATTGACAGGTGGATCCTTAACCGCTGCGCCACCAGGGAAGTCCCCAAGCCATGTTTTCTTGTTTAGTGCCGGCCCTTTAGGAATGCAAATGTTTATTTGCAAAGGATACTAAAATGTGGCTGCCTTGCCCCCTCAATTTTCCTTGTGGATTAATAAGTCTGAAGGTAGATTTCTCATGAAGTTCCAGCTGAAAATGAAGAAGACATTTGGAGAAATAATTAAGATTCCATAGACATAGTCCCTTTTCTGCTGTGACTTGTTACTCCTAGAGTGCTTTCAAATTAATTTATCCACATATTTTTTCTCACCTAGAAACTGGTCAAAATCCAAAAAGTGGCTTCTAGCACTTTTTGAGAAAAACATTCCAGATATAAAAACATGCAAATCTGCAAAAGATAATTCCCCGGTAAGTATTCCTTAGCTTTTTTTGCTAAAATACCTGAGATGAAAACAGTCATAAACTACGATTGTTAAAAAAATATTTTTGCTAAAAATCATGAGATGTGTTACATAGATACCATTTTTGTGCCAACCACTGTGTTGGATGTTTACATACGTTATTTTATTATTGCATCCTCACAGCAGTGAGGGAGATATTAACCCTATTTTACATAAGAAAAAACTGAGGCTACAGACAACAAAATAACACAACAGCCTGAGGGTTTTTTTAATATTTATCGATTATACAGTTGGTTGTGTCAACAGTCACAGGTGGGAGTTATGGCAAATTAGGCAAAGATAAGAAAGCTCCACAAAGTTGACTTTTTTCTTGAGGCCACCACGGCTAATTGTTTCTTTCTTCAAATGCAACCAGGTAGTGTGGTATAATTTAAAAAGCAACGCACTGGGAGTCACTGTCCTAAGTGTCCTAGATCTGTGGTTCTCTACACGTGGTCCTTAGACCAATGGTACCAACGTCGCCTGGGAAACCAGGGCAAAACGCTAGGAGCCCAGCCATCTGGGGTTTTATACACCTTCCAGATGGTTCTGTTGCTTGCTAATGAATGGTTCTCAGCCGTGGCCGCTCATTAGAATCTCTGAAAGCTTTTGAAAACTACCTGATTCTCCAGACTCACCGTCTGGAGATTCCTTTTGGCCTGGACTGCCTGGGCTCAAATCCAGTCACCATTGTGTGACCTTGGGCGTGGTACCTAACCTCTTGGCCTCAATTTTGTGACCTTGGGCATGGTACCTAACCTCTTGGCCTCAGTTTTGTTAACAAATAGTTAATATTTGTAAAGCACTTGAAACATAGTAAAGACTGTGTGAGAGTTTATCATTGTTATCATGGAAGAAATCATTTCATATCTTTTAGCATTGAAAGATGATATCAGACATTTTTGTTTGTTTGCGTTTAGTTATGATAGCAAGTGTTATCACAAACAACTCTGCTTAACACTGGAGAGGAAGATCACCTTAGAAAAAAAGGAATGTGCGAATGTTTGGGGATCTCCCTCTGGAATAAAGGGAATAGAGAGCTAGACTGGAATGCCCTTCACTGACAAACTATGTTTCAGCTAAAGAATCTATTTTATAAATGGATCCAGACAAACACATTTTTGTTTGCATTATTTTCCAGGATTTAGAGGTAAAGCCATGTGTGTATAAAAGCTGTACCCAAATAGATCTGTAATCTATGAGCCTAGAAAACAGGGGTTTTAATGCCCCAGTTAAAACTCCCCACTGACAATACTTCTAGAATAGCATTTATTTTTCTTACTCTGAAGAAATGAGGCACTTTAATCATAGGTACTCGAACTCCCGCTTTGAATAAAGACAAATTTTGACCTCTGCTGACGCTAATTCAATGTTTATGACCGGGATAGAATTCAGTTTGAACACTCATGAGCTGCGTAACTTCATTTTTTAAAAACTGTTTTGTTTTTGTTTTCCTGCAGCAGTGTTCACACAGAGTTTACGTTTTTATACCCACAATTTTTTAAAAAATGCAGGCTAAGAAGAAAATAAAAGATTCTGTTGTCTTTTACTGCATAAGTCGATTTCAATGTCCTAGTTAAGCAAAGGACTGGAAGAAGTTTTTTGTTTTTTTGTTTTTTAAATATTATACACACATTTTATCACATCATAACTTTATCACGTTTCAACATGAGTGATTTCTCCCATGTTATTCTAGATATAAATTAAACTAGTATTTTCATTTACAATTAAGACTGCACCACAGAATAGCATACCAAAAGAATGAAATACATCTATAGGATTTTTCATGAAATATAAACTTTGTACCATAACAACTTGCATTGTAAGTCTGATAGAGACCAGGAGTAAATGAAAATTGTACTTAAATGTTTTTCAAATCTGGTAATCCATTATTACAGAAACAGTAACAATAAGACATCACTAACACTCATGGGGTACTTACTCTGTGCCAGGTGTAGTGTTAACACATTTCACAAATTCACTGCTCATTTCTTTTTCGCAACAACTTTAGTACCTGGGAAACTGGGGATTACTAAAACCAGAAAGCCAGGGATCAGAGTGGTTAATCACTTTTGAAACACTACGTGCCTCTGTAAGTAACAGCAACAGCCTCTCGTCATGTATTTTCTTTGAGAGTGATGTAATAGGTATTTTCTGTGTTGTAGGATCTGAAGAAAAACCACTGCGTTCTGGTGCAGCGCAGCTCTCTGAGTCCCTAACCCGTGAGAGTTAAGGACTGTGTCTCTAAGGGGCAGCATAACCTAGTAGCTAAGATTGTGGGCACTGGAGCCAGGGCCAGCCTCGCAGGATTCGAATCCCAGCTCAACCATTGACAAGCTGTATGTCACTAGCAAAGTTCCCTAACCTAATCGTGCTTCCATTTCCTCAAATGTAAAATGGTGACAATAACAGATCTACTCCTTGGAGCTGGGGTGAGGAACGAACGCTTAAATACTTGTGAAGCCCTTAAACAGTACTTGCCTTCCAGAGCATTGACTAGACTTTAGCTACCATTATTTCTATTACCTAACTTGAATTAGTTAAGATTCGAAGTGCACAAGTAACTTAATGAAAATGGTATAATGTCTGAATTTGTTCCTCGTGATGGGGATGACCGTTGGCAAAGGCAAATCTGGGAAGCCTTCCAAGGAAGGAAATGCTTTCATGGAATTTGTGTGATCACTTGAGAGCAGCCATACTAGGTGACCTTGGAGAGGCCCTGATCTGACCTGGTACCGTCCATGTCAAACGTCAGTTCTCTGCATGGTTTTAGAGTATTGCAATATTTATCATATACTGGTTTGGCAATTCCCTTACCCATGATATGTAGGCTGAGAATTTGCATGGCACATGGGGGTAGGGTTTTCTCCGGAATGCTCCAGAGATCTGTGTCTGTGTTGTTTGCATTTTCCTAAGAACAGATGTTTATTTAAAAAAAGAAAAAAAAATTGAAAGATAACATTCGTCAAAATGGTAATGTGTACTAAGTTTTGTTTTAAGTACTTTATAAGAAGTAACTCATTTAATTCTCACAACAATCCTGTGAGGTAGGGTCCATATTATGACCATTTTACAGATGAGGAAATTGAGACGCAGAGAGCTTAAAGTACTTGCCCAAGGTTACCCAGCTATTGAAACCAGGTTCCCGTTCCACATGTAAGGATCTTGGAAGTTGCCACTTCATCCTCACACCAAGTAAAAAGCTTAACAGACTGAAAAATCAACAGTTCTTCTTGAAAGAGAGGACACAGAGCAACCTGCTGCCCCCAAGACTAGAGACCAACAGGCAACTACAGGGAGTTGACATTTCCCAGAGCACAGACCTGAGAGTGGAGACTGCCCTGGGAACCTGCGCCAGGGTAGGAAAACCTGAGCTGTAATTAATGAATTGCTAGAGGCTCAGTGCAGACAATTCTCAGAGTTCAAAACTCCACGGGACCTGGGACCCGGTCATAGAAGGACCTCCACAATACTGTGAAACTTACCTCCAGGAGGTGGACCAGTGAAAAATCCCCTAGGGCTTCTGACAGGGGAAGGGGGAAAAGAACAAGTTTGAAATATGCTAGAGCACTCTGTTCTTAACCAGGCCTGCCCTCAGGGGGAAAATAGCTAACCAAAACTTAACCTGCTGGAGGATTATCAGAGCCTAACTGACCTGGGGAAGAGGAGTGTCCAATTGCAGCCACCTCTAGCCATCCTGTCCCACCTAAGGAGGGAGAATAAGACTGAGAAACACTTGTGAAGTTCACAGTCCAGAGGCACAGGCTCATGAAAAGACAGAGGTCTAATCATAAGACTTGAATGCTTCCCCTCCCCTCACACCTAACCACCACATTACTAAAGACCTGTTTATCACCATTCCTTTTACCCAGCACAACATGTCTAGCCATCAAGAAAAATTACAAGGCAAAAAGAAACCTCCACAATTTGAAGAGATAAAGCAAGCATCAGAACCGTTCGTGGCCGGGATGTTAGAATTAACAGATTGGGACTTTAAAAAAATATATGATTAATATGCTAATGACTAAATGATAAAGTAGGCAGCATGCAAGAACAGATGGACAATGTAAGCAGAGAGATGGAAATCCTAGGAAAGAACCGAAATGAAATGCTAGATAGAGATTAAAAAAAAACCAAGTGACAGAAATAAAGAATGCTTTTCATGGACTTATTAGTAGCCTGGACAGAGCTGAAGAAAGAATCTCTGAGCTAGAGGAGATTCAGTCCTTGAAAACCAAAAAGCAAAGAGAAGGAAGACATAAAAAACAGAAATAGAACAGAATATTCAAGGACTGTGGGAAAACAACCGAAGATATAACAGTCATGGAATGGGTATACCAGAAAAAGAAGAAAGAGATGGGAACAGGAGAAATACTTGACACAATAATGACTGAGAATTTCTCCCAAATTAATGTCAGACACCAAACCACAGATCTTGGAAGCTCAGAGAGCACCAATCAAGTAAACACCAAAAAAACTACACCTCAGCATATCATTTTTAAATTACAGAAAATCAAAGATTTAAAAAACCCTGAAAGAAGCCAGAGGGAGAAAAACAAACAAAAAAACAAAGAAAAAAACCACTATACCTATAGAAGAACGAAGATATGAATTACATCTGACTTGTCCTCAGAAAGCATGCAAGCAAGAAGAGAGTGGAATGAAATATTTAGTGTTGAGAGAGGAAAAAACATCAACCTAGGACACTGTACTCTGTGAAATTATCCTTCAGAAGTGAAGGAGAAATAGAGTCTTCTTCAGACAAACAAAAATTGAGGGAATTTTGTTGCCAGTAGACCTGCCTTATAAGAAATGCTAAAAGAAGTTCTTCAGAGAGAAGGAAAATGATATAGGTCATAAACTCAGACCTCCATAAAGAAAGAAAGAGCACGAAAGAAGGAATAAGTAAAGGTGAAAAAGAAACTTATTTTTTCTATTCTTAATTGATCTAACAGTTCAAATTGATATCAACTTGATAACAGTTTGTTCAGATAATAAAATAGCAACAATATATTCAATTATATATGCTCATATGTATATTATATGTATATACATGTGTGTATGTGTACTCATGTGTGCTTATGTATAAGTGAAATGAATGATGGAAATGATACAGGGACAGGAGGGAGGAATTAGGATTATTTTGTTACTAGAAGGTACTTACACTACCTGTGAAATGGTACAGTATTATTTTAAAATGGACTTGGATTAGTTGTAAATGTATATTACAGACTCTAGGGCAACCACTAATAAAAAGAAAAATTGAAGTATAGCTTGATATGCTAAGAAAGGAGAGAAAATGGAATCATAAAAATGCTCAGTTAAAATCACAAAAGGCAGGAAAATGGTGGAATACAAAAATAAGAACAAAGAATAAGGGCAGCAAATAGAATACAGTAACAAATATGGTAGATAGTAATCCAGCTATATCAGTAATCACTTTGAATGTCAGTGGCCTAAATGCACGAATTAAAAGACAGAGATTGTCACAGTGGATCTAAAAACATAACCCAACTATATGTTGTCTACAAGAAACCCACTTTAAATATGACACTTTATATTTAATATAGATTAAAAGTAAACAGATGTAGAAAAACATACCATGCTAACACCAATCAAAAGAAAGCAGGAGGAGCTATATTACTTTCAGACAGAGCAGACTTAAAAGGAAGGAAACTTATCAGGCATAATGAAGGACATTACATAATGACAATGAGGTCAGTCCTCCAAGAAGACATAACAATTCTTAATGTGTATGTACCTAGCAACAGAGTGTCAAACTACATGAGACAAAAACTGATGGAACTTCAAACAGAAATAGATGAATCTACTGTCACAGTTGGAGACTTCAACACCCCTCTCTCAGAAATGGACACATCCAACAGACAAAAATCAATAAGGACATAATTGAACTCAACACCACCATCAATCAACTGGATATAATTAATTAAGACTACTTAATCCAGCAACGGCAGAATACATATTTTTTTCTCAAGCTTATATGGAATATTCACCAAAATAAACCACATTCTGGGCCATTCAACACACCTTAACAAATTTATAAGAATAGAAATCATATAATGTCTCTTCTCAGACCACAGTGGAATTAAACTAGAAATCAATAACAGAAAGATAACTGGAAAATCCAAAAATACGTGGAGATTAAACAACACATTTCTAAATAACACATGGATCAAAGAAGAATTCTCATGAGAAATTAAAATATGTTGAAACAAACTAAAATGAAAAAACAACCTAGTAGTGAAAGCAATGCTTAGAAGGAAATTTATAGCTGGACGTTGAAGCTATCACCAGTGGCCAATGATTTAATCAATCATGCCTATGTATGAAGCTTTCATAAAAACCCAAAAGGACGGGGTTCAGAGAGCTTCTATGTTGATGAACACTTGGAGATTTGGGGAGAGTGGCAAGCAAGCACAAAAGTTCCTTGGCCTTTACCCCTACCTTGCCCTACACATCTCTTCCAGCTGCATGTTCATCTGTAGGCTTTATCGCATCCTTTTATAATAAACCAGTAATCTAATAAGTAAAATGTTTCAGTTCTGTGAGCAGCTCTAGCAAATTAATCAAATCTGAGGAGGGGGTTCATGGGAACCTCTGATTTATATAACCAGTCAGTTAGAAGTACAGGTAACAACTTGGACTTGCAACTGGCATCTGAAATCCAAGGAGGGGGTCTGTGTAACTTCCGATCCTTAGCCAGTTAGTCAGAAGCACAGGCAATAACCTGGGCTTGCAACTGACATCTGAAGAGCAGGGCAGAGTCTTGTGGGACTAAACCCTTAGCCTGTGGAACATGATGCTATCTTTGGGTAAATAGTGTTATAATTGAGCCGAATTATAAGACACCCAGATGATGAACCAAGCATTGTTTGTGGTGTGTAGAACCCCCCTCACACACATTGGAAATTGGTACCAGAACCCCTTTAGCAAGGATGTCCCCTCCAACCACTCTTTTTCAACATAGTACTGGAAGTCCTTGCTAATGCAATAAGGCAAGAAAAGGAAATAAAAATTATACAGATTGAAAGGGAAGACATAAAACTGTCTTTGCTTGCAGATGCTGTGAACATATGTAGAGAAAATCCAAAAGAATCAACCAAAAAACTACTGGAACTAATGAGTGATTTTAGCAAGGTTGTAGGATACCAAGTTAACACACAAAAGTTAATTGCTTTCCTACATGCCAACAATGAATAAGTGGAATGTGAAATTAAAAACGCAATACCCTTTACATTAGCATTCCCCAAAATGAAATACTTACATATATATAAAACAAAACAAGATCTATATGAGGAAAACTGCACAACTACAAAACTCTGAGGAACAAAGTCAAAGAACTAAATAAATGGGGATATATTCCATGTTCATGGATAGGAAGACAATATTGTCAAGATGTCAGTTCTTCCCAACCTGATGTATAGATTCAATGCAATCCCCAATAAAAAACCCCAGCAAGTTATAAAATTTCATGGATTCTAAAATTTATATGGAGAGGCAGAAGACCCAGAATCACCAACACAATGTTGAAGGAAAAGAGCAAAGTTCTTCAAAGAAGTGATGCTATCCAACTTCAAGATTTACTGTAAATCTTCAGTAATCAAGATAATGTGATGCTGGCAAAAGAATAGACAAATAAATTAATGGAACAGAATAGAGAGCCCAGAAAGAGACCCCATTAAATATAGTCAACTGATCTTTGACAAAGGAGCAAAGGCAATATAATGAAACAAAGATAGACTTTTCAACAAATAGTGCAGAAACAACTGGACATTCACACGCAAAAAACTTAGTTGATCTTGGGTGTGGCGATGCCTACTTAGATATAACACTAAAGACACAATTCATAAACTATTAAGCTGGATTTCATTAAAATTAAACTGCTCTGTGAAAAGACAATATCAGGAGAATTAGAAGACAAGTCACAAACTGAGAGAGAGTATTGGCAAAATAAAGGACTATTATCCAAAATATACAAAGAACACTTAAAACTCGACAATAGGAAAACAAACAACCCAATGGAAAAACAGACCAAAAATAGACCTTAAGAGACACCTCACCCAAGAAGATATATAGATGGCCAATAAGCATATGAGAAGATGCTCCACATCACATGTCATCAGGGAAATGCAAATTAAAGCAATGAGATACCACTACTCACCTATTAGAATGGCCAGAATCTGGAATACAGACAATACCAAATGCTGACAAGGTTGTAGAACAACAGGAACTCTCATTCATTGCTTGTGGGAATGCAAAATGGTATAGACTTTTTGGAGGTTTCTTACAAAATGAAACATACTCTTACCATACAGTCCAGCAATTGTGCTCCTTGTATTTGCCCAAATGGTTTGAAAACTTACACTCACACGAAAACCTACATATGGATGTTTGTAACAGCTTTATTCATAATTGCCAAAACTTGGATGCAACCAAGATGCCCTTCAGTAGGTAAATGGGTAAATAAGCTATGGTACATCCAAAGAATAGAGTATTAGCGCTAAAAAGAAATGAGCTATCAAGCCATGAGAAGACATGGAGGAACCATAAATGCCTATTACTAAGTGAAAGAAGCCAGTATGAGAAGGCTACATACTATATGATTCCAACTATGAAATTTTGGAAAAGGCAAAACTATGAAGAAAGTAAAAAGATCAGTGGTTGTTAGGGGTGGGGAGAGATGAATAGGCAGAGCATAGAGGATTTTTTAGGGCTATGAAAATACTCTGTATGATATTATAATGATAATAGATATCATTATGCATTTGTCCAAACCCATAGAGTTTATAACACCAAGAGTGACTCCTAATGTAAATTATGCACTTTAGATGACTATGATGTATCAAAGTCGTTTCTTCCTTGGTCAAAAATGTCCCATTCTGGTGAGTGATGTTGATAATGAGGACGGCTATGCTTGGGTGGGGGTAAGGGTTATATGGGAAATCTCTGTACTTTCCTCTCAATTTTCTTGTAAACCTAAAACCACTCTAAAAAATAAAGTCTTAAAAAATTAAGCCAGGATTTGAACCAATGCAGTAAGAGCGTTGAACCCCAGAGTCCCTGCTCCCAATTACTATACTACCAGTAAGTATGTAAATCCCTTAGCATGCCTGAAATCACAGACCTAAGAATGGCAAAAATAGTATCTTTCAGATTAAAGAAAAATGCATGATCTTTGTTTATTAACATCAGTCTTTGTCACATAACTCTGGTTTGACAATATTTATTTCTTTTAAACAGACAGTAATGCAGGCTCTGCTGGATCTCCTAGAGATGGAAACAAATGAACAAAAGAGTCCCAATTATGGGCTCTTACTACTTTGGGCTTCTCTGTCCAATGCTGTCCCTGTAAGTATATTAGTAAAGGAAGGATTGCATTTCTGTCTACTGTTTTTCCCTTCATTTTTCTTTCTGGTTTTTTTTTTTAAAATTCTTTTCACTTCTTATCATGGGGAAGAAAAAGACTGTAATGGATTTGGTTGTGAGATAGAAAAACAAAACTGAATGCCTAAGAAAATGTGATAAGATCACAAAGGAGGCAAAGCAGAGAACTGAAGTGAATTCTGCCCTTTGAAAGGCAGCATGTAACAGGTGAAGGGAAACATTTGCACTTTGGGGTCAGTTGTGACAACACCTGTATATGCAGCACTTTCTGTACTTTCCATGTCAGGCAACATGCTTAGTATTGGTGCTGCAAAGATAAGTAAGTCTTGACCCCAGACATTTACTGGGGAGAGAGCAGGTAAACGGATAGCTCAGTTAGAATTGGACTGGAATCCAGATATCCCAGCCATAGCCATAGAATCTCATGGAGGTAACGAATACTCTGAGCCTCCATTTCCTTATTGGTAAAAAAGGGATAATAAAACTCCTAGTATGGCCCTAGACTTGGGTACTTAATAAACGGTAACGCTCATTTCTCTGCGAGATTGTTGTGAGGATTTAGCGAGATAAGCCCAGCTGCCACCCGGTGATCATGAGTTCTTTGTCGACCCCTGAACCCATTCTCCTTCTATGCACCATTCCTGTTTGCATTGCTTGGCATCGTGGTCCTGTAAGCTTCCCCATGAATGGAGCTGGTGACACTGGAACTCACGATACTTCTAAAGGGAGCAGAGATTTTTGAACTGGTTTTTTTTTTTTAAGCTGTTATGAACTAGAATACAGCCATGAGATTTGTCTGGCACTTCATGTTCGATGCACAGCAGTTTCCTGCATCAGGAGGATTTCATATCAGCTTAAGCTGCACTTAAATTATTTGAGAGATTAAAGGGTAAACTTTTTATGTATTTGTTTTCTACTAAATAAGAACTTTCAACCTATCTATAATGATAAAGGTATTCATTTTTTCTTTTTTCTTCTAACAAATAGAAATAAGATGTGTTAAGTATTATTTGTTTCCCCTTCCTCTTATAAAGGTTGTAGAGGGCTTTCTAAGTCCTGATATTCTAGTTGTCTTTAACCCATTATAAACTAACTGGGTAACAGAGCAGAAATAGAAATTCTGGCTTCTCTGCTCAAATGTGTGTCAGCCACTAAAATACGTATTTCATCTGGCATGGGCAAATAAAAGTAGTCTAACCCTTTCCTCTTCTTTAGGTATCTCTAATATTACTCTCTGATTTTTCCTTATACAATTTTCTTGGAAACTGATTAAGCTAGAGCAAAATTAAAAGGCAAATATCAAAACAACTCCCAAAGCAGCAACAAAACAGCCACTCCTGTCACAGGATTAATTTTCAACATCTCATTAGAAAGCACCCCCCCCCAGAAGAAAGGGACACAAAGCCGCATTGATCTGACTCCGGGGGAGTCAGATTTTTGGAATTTGTTCCTGGCACTGGTGTGAAAGAATTTAACTTAATTGCAGAAAGCAAGTGTCTGATGATCAGCAGAAGTTCCATCTTGCTGGCTCTTGTTGGCACTTCTAAGAGGCAGCTGGTGTGTGGGCAGAGACCCTGGACTGGCTTTAGAGTCAGGTCCAAAGGCAGATCCCACAGCTGGGTGACAATGGGCCAAGTGTTTAACTGTGACCCTCAGTGTCCTTATCTGTAAAATAGCATGAATGTTATCTACCTCATAGGATACTATGAGGATTATATTTTTAAGAAGTGGAAAGTGGCTAACAGTCCCTGGCTCAATAAATGTTAGCTTTCTTTTCTTATAAAAAGTAACACCATGGTTTCAATCAGTCATTTCTTTCAATGGCCCACTAATAATGAACTGCCTTGGCTTCCAAAACTTGACCTCTCAAATGCCCAAGGGTGGGAGTGGCCACTGCTGTCCTGGCTTCTGTGATCTCCAAGGCGGCCAGGAGAGCTGCCAGAAGCCCTGCCAGGGGCCTGTGCTTTCCTGGTGCCTAGATCATTCTCTTCTCTTTTACTCTGTGCTCTGTCTCTAGGACTACAGAACTCAGAGCTCAGGCTTCAGACAGGCTTGGTACAAGGCACCAGGAAGCCCTGTTATGAGACCAAAGTCTAGGTGAACTTTGGTGGACTGGCCCAAGATATTAACCATGATTTATGAAATTATTTCTATGGGAAAACCATTTCCAAGTCCCAAGAAATTCGTGGCTGCCAAATGTACTTTTTAAGAAAACTTTTCCAAATGAACCTCAAAGCTGACATTTTACCTTTTTAATCTGCTTCTCTGAAGCTCTTTCTAAACACTTTCAGTAGTGGCTTCCCCACCTCACTCTCAATTCCCACAGCATTTATTGGTTACTCTTTTATATGCCTTTCTTTTCTTTTTAAAAGAGTAATTTTTTAATTAAAAAATTTTAAGTAGAATATAATATAGATTTTTAGAAGAGAGATTTGTTAAGAGGCATCAAACATAGTAACTAACACCATTGCACAACCATTTATAGTTTAACTGAATTCCTTGAGTTTGCTTTAAAATAAGGTATTACCCAATTTTAGTGAATCTCTAAAACTCTAATTAACCACGTAAAACTCTAAACCCCTCTTTTGTGTAACTGAAAAATCTATGTACTATCACTAAGGTATATTTTTCCCCAACATGAACTCTTGAGTCTTTAAATAACGAGGTCCTACTGTATATCACAGGGAACTATATTCAATATCCTGTAATAAACCATAATGGAAAAGAATATGATAAAGAATATATATATATATATAAAACTAAATCACTTTGCTGTAGAGCAGAAATTAACACGTTATAAATCAACTAAGCTTCAATAAAGTAAGTTAAAAAAAATGATGGATTGAGTATGGAGTGCTTATTAATTAAATCCAATAATTCAGCACTTCCATCTATAGAGAGTATAGAAGGGGCCCACGTGGGGAGACATGTTGAAGAGAGCTGTCTGAGCATGTTTCCTCTGTAAAAATGAACTAGTTGATCTCTAGGGTAAGCCTTTCCTAATCTGGAAAATGCCACAGAAAGTGGATCTTGGGATAGAGGCCTCAGTTCTCCCATTCACTTTGTTTATGTAAACGGCACCATGTTTATGCCCACAGTATCAGTTTACTGTCACAAAGGGGAAAACAATGAGTAGTACTGAATTTGGCTTTGTCCAAGCACTTCCTTTCAGACCGTTGTTCTTCCTCTTTTGACCACAGAGGGGAGTATTGGGATCATTTAAAGGTGTTTAACAGTCCCTCACAAGAGACAGAAAAACTTAAGTGACACAGTGTTGTCTGAGTCTTTTCAGGATTGGTTTTCCTAAGATGAAATTTCTTTCACAATATGTGTTTACAGAAAGCAGATGAAAGGGAACCCAATCTTCTCTTGATGATTTGATACGTTTCCTTTCATGTGTAACCTAAAAATAGAAGCAAAAATATCTACCTGAATTAATGGAAAATTAATTTTTTTAATTGAAGTATAGTTTATTTACTCTATTGTGTTAGTTTCAGGTGTACAGCATAGTGATTCAGTATTTTTTCAGCTTATACTTCATTATAGGTTATTACAAGATAATGAGTATAATTTCCTGTGCTGTACAAGTACATCCTTGTTGCTTATCTATCTTATACATAGTAGTTTGTATCTGTTAATCCCATACTCCTAATTTATCCTTCCCCGCTTCTCTCTCCTTTTGTTAACCACAATTTTGTTTTCTATATCTGTGAGACTGTTTCTGTTTTGCATGTACATTCATTTGTATTATTTTTTAGATTCCACATGTAAGTGGTATACAATATTTGCCTTTTTCTGTCTGACTTATTTCACTAAGCATACTATTCTCTGGGTCCATCCACATTGCTGCAAATGGCAGTATTTCGTTCTTTTTCGTGGCTGAGTAGTATTCCATTGTATATATGTACCACATCTTCTTGATCCGATCATCTGTTGATGGACACTTGAGTTGCTTCCGTGTCTTGGCTACTATAAGTAGTGCTGCTGTGAACGCTGGGGTACATGTATTTTTTTTTGAATTAGTATTTTCATTTTTTCTGGATATATACCCAGGAATAAAATTGCTGGATCATATGGTAGTTCTATTTTTAGTTTTGCTTTTTTTTTTTTTTTTTGCGGTACATGGGCCTCTCACTGTTGTGGCCTCTCCTGTTGCGGAGCACAGGCTCCGGACGCATAGGCTCAGCGGCCATGGCTCACGGGCCCAGCCGCTTCGCGGCATGTGGGACCTTCCCGGACCGGGGCACGAACCCGTGTCCCCTGCATCGGCAGTCGGACTCTCAACTACTGCGCCACCAGGGAAGCCCCCTATTTTTAGTTTTTTTAAGGAACCTCCATAATGTTTTCCATAGTGGCTGCACCAATTTACATTCCCAGCAACAGTGCACAAGAGTTCCGTTTTCTCCACATCCTCACCAACATTTGTAATCTGTAGACTTTTTGATGATAGCCATTCTGACAGGTGTGAGGTGATACTTCATTGTGGTTTTGATTTGCATTTCTCAAGTAATTAGAGATATTGAGCATCTCTTCATGTGCCTGTTAGCCATCTGTATGTCTTTGATGTTTAGCAGTGTAATTTTATCTTATAATACCACAATGAGGAAAGATATGAAATAATTTTGTTTGGTCTATAGTGAGAACTTGCAAACATACTATGTTCAGTAATACCCTATAAACTTGCAAGTACCCTTTTTCAATAGGGTATGAAAGGACCCTAGTTTTGATATAAGTACTTTCATAATTTAGTTGATAAGATTTTAGGTATAGTTTCTGGGACTTATTTAAAATTCCCATGTTTCATTTGCAGAATATATGATTTGCTAATTTATTTGTATTTCAAGGAATTACATCTTGAAAAATGCCTTTGTTTTGGACTAACATTCTTAAGTGTCATAATTTGTTGCTCCTAAATTTCTAATATGTGCTTATATAATATTTTATGTTGTATATTAGTACAATAAAACACGCTGCTTTTCCCATTTTTTTTAGTGAAAATAGTTTACTCTATATAGACAATATTGTGAAACTATAGTGGCAGAATAAAATCATAAATTTGACCCCTTAGAGATATGTAACATCTCTTTTGTTCATAAAATCTAGTTGTTTTCGAAGATACTCTTTACTAACATGATTTTAAGTTTAGTTTAAATTTCTCGTTTCTTTTAAATGTTTCTGGCTAATACTATGTATGCTTTTGTTCACGTTCAAAGAAGGTTGTATGTTTTGACATATGTTTTTCTTTTTAAGGTTGCATTTTGGACATTTGCATTTGTCCTCTCTCATCCCAATATCCACAGGACCATTGTGGAAGGCATATCATCTGTGTTTGGCACAGCAGGTACTAAAACTGAATTAAATTGCATTATTGAAGAGATATCTAATAATGTGTGCTTGTCACACATTATGGGCAAAGTTAAATGCCCATAATTTAATAGAATTTCAAAGTAGTCCAAATTGAACATCATTTGTTATGTGCTTCAGGATATAAATTGATCAGGTAGGATCCTAGAATTTAATTACTGTCAAGGATTTTAGAAGTCACCTGGACCAACTCCCTTATTTTCCAAATGATGAAACAGAGATCGTGACTTGCCTAAATTCCCTATTTAAACATAAGTGTATAATGCACAGGGTTTTTCTTCTAATCTCTTAGCCCCTTGCCTCAGTTGAACTACAAGTCGTAGTTTTGGAATTCAGGGTTTTCCAGATTTTATAAAAGTAATGTGGTGCATATTCCATGTACTGCTTAACTGTATTAATGGGATATGGATGTCAGGTAAGGCTACACCACCAAAGGAATTATTTTCAAAGTTACAGTTTTTAGAGGTTGAGTGGGTTAGAACTGCAGGTAGAGATTGCTACCTTGCCCTTTTTGGTCCAGATTTGGGCTCATCAGTTATCGTCAGTTTTAAACAGCAGAAATAAGCTTGAATGGAGAAGTTTCCACTAGTTTATTCAGCATAAATTGACCTGTTTGGGAGTAGATTTTTTTTTCAAAAAAACCCTTTAATATGTCAAATTGTATATTCTGATGTAAAAAAATAATAAATGACTTGGTTTTCTTGGAAGAACACAATATAATAGTAAGACAAAAGACTGTGATGCCAATGAACAATTATCCCTCCTCTCCTTCGTGATTGCTGAATGTATTTTATTGGATTTTTCAATTTATTTTGACTGCTTCTTATTGAGTTAAACCAAAAATCAAATTGGCTTGGCCAACATGGATATTGAAGCCATACTTTCTCTGAGCCTGAGTGTGAATCACCAGATGCTAGGTTGTATTTCACAGAAATGGTGAGCATTAGAATCATTGAGTACAAACAGTGCTAACAAGTTAGATTCTGGAGATACACTGGTGGATGTAAGAGATGACTTGCCTTTATGGAGCTTACATCTACAAAGCTAATGGAAATGCGCCTGCCTGCGTGTCTACAAATGACAAAGGGAATGTGTTCTTGATCATCACATGCTCTATCTTACCAGAGTCTGCTCCTGACATAGGGTTCTCCAAATTCCTGGTCTTTAAGAAATAAAAAGGTAGTGATGGGGATGGTTGGGGTAATATGGGGAGCCTATCTGACCCAAAGGCCACAACAGAAGCCTTACATTAATTGAAATTTCTACTGTGCTTGAATGTTGAACTCTTGAACACAGTTCTAGTGGAGGAAGACAAAACTTTTCCCCTTTTTCTATATTCTTGTTTATTTTTAGAACCTATTGTTCTCCTCTGACAGAACAATTCTCCTTCAAGTAGTAGTACCCGTGTACTGGCTATAGTATATCAGCGCTTTCAGTTTATAAAAGATCAAACGTTTTTTCCCTGCTTATACAGAAGCAGTTCAGATCAATCGAAGCATAAGATATAGTAGCTCAAGAATTTAGATATTGTGAGTGAAGGCCACAGAGCTTTGGAGGTTGATATCAAGGGAGATAGCCATGTGCCCATACAAAGGATCCTGTCAAAGGAAGGACATTAAAGTGCATGAAATAAGAATTGGACTGAGTATGGCATTTCTCCCATTCTTTTGCTCTTTTCTTTTCTTTTTTTTTTTTTTTTAAAGTTAATTTATTTGGCTGCACCTGGTCTTAGTTCCAGCATGCAGGATCTAGTTCCCTGACCAGGGATTGAACCTGGGCCCTCTGCATTGGGAGCGCGGAGTCTTAACAGCTGGACCACCGGGGAAGTCCCTCTTATGCTCTTTTCTATTACAAGATTACCTTTTCCTTCTTTGAAGACGCTTTTAGTGAACTTCTAACTCAGCATCTCTCTAGCCTCAATACTCACTGCTAGAGCCCATCCCGGACATTTTGCCCAACTTCCTTATAAAATAAGTCTGAGGGCAAAAGCTGCTGTTGAATACTTGGTCTTTTGTATCTGGCTTCTTTCACTTAGTATAATGTTATATTTTGTATGTTGATGTTTTAAGTTAGTTGATTTTCAGGTGTTGAACCTCCTTGCATTCCTGAGATAAATTTTTAGTTATGGTGTATAATTCATATAAAACATATGACTTTATATACGTTGCTGGATTCAGTTTGTTAGTACTTTGTTGAGGAATTTTGCATCTATATTAATAAGATATATTGATTTATAGTTTTCTTTCTTGTGATAACTTTGTCTGGTTTTGGTATCAGAATAATTTTGACTTTATAGAATGACTTCAGAAGTATTTCCCTCCTCTTTTATTTTTTGGAAGAGTTTGTGAAGGATTGATGTTAATTCTTCTGTAACCATATGGTAGAATTCACCAGTGAAGTGATCTGGTCCAGAAATTTTCTTTTTTGAGAAGTTTTTGATTAATTCAATCTCTCTACTTGTTACAGGTCTGTCCAGATTATCTATTTCTTCTTTTTTTAAAATTGAGATATAATTGACATACAATATCCTATTAGTTTTTGATGTACAACATAATGATTTGATATATGTATATATTGTGAAATGGTTACCACAATAAATTTAGATAGCATCCATCACCACACATAGTTACAGTTTTTTTCTTGTGATGAGAACTTTTAAGATCTACTATCTTACCAACTTACAAATATATAGTACAGTATTATTAACTATAGTCACAATGCTGTACATTACATCGCCAGAAAAATATGGAATGCTTCACAAATTTTAGTGTCATCCTTGCACAGGGGCCATGTTAATCTTCCCTGTATCTTTGCAATTTTAGTATGTGTGCTGCTGAAGTGAGAACTATATATTTCTTCTTGAGTCAGTTTTGGAGTTTGTGTCTTTTTAGGAGTTTATCCATTTCATGTAGGTTATTTAACTTGTTGGCATACAACTGTTCCTAGTTTTCCCCATAATCTTCTTTATTTCTGTAAGCTCACTAGGAAAACATCTCCCTCATTCTTAATTTTAGTAATTTATGTCCTCTTTCTTTTTCTCTTGGTCAGTGTAGCTAACGGGTTATCAATTTTGTTTTCAAAGAACTGTTGATTTTATTGATTTGTTTGATCTTATTCTTTCTATTGATTTTCTGTTCTCTATTTCATTTATTTCTGTTCTAATCTTTATTATTTATCATTTCTATCTCCTTACCTATATTCTCTATTTAGTTCTTTAGACATGATTAATTATTTGAATATATTTAAAGTATCTGATTTATAAGTGTTTCTTTAGTAAATCCAATATCTGAGTTTCTTCAGGGATAGTTTGTATTGAGTGCCTTTTCCCTGTGTGGTCTATGTGTTCTTGTTGCATGTCATATTTCATATTTTTTGTCATGTGTCTTACAATTTTTAAATTTTGTCCAATTTAAAGCTGGACATTTAAAATAATATAATGTGGTAATTCTGGAAATCAGATTCTCCTTTCTGCTCAGGGTTCCTTATTATTGCTGTTTGTTGTTCTTGCTTGTTTGTTTGTTTACATAAGTAAATTCCAAAAATATTTGATGTTGATAAATGCTATGTGAAAAAGAAAACAGAGCAGATTAGGGAGGATCAAGGGTGCCAGAAATGGGGGGAAAGTGGTAGGTTTAAATAGTTGGATCAGAGTTGGCCTTCCTGGAAAGGTGATATTGAGCAAGGACTTGAAGATGGTTAGGCGTTAGAAAACACATATCTAGAGGAAGAGCTGGTTTGAGTTAGAGACTGCAGGTCTGGCCTCACTGTGTTCTCACAGAATTCTCACAGGCATTAACATTTGGGTCCTATTTAGACTGTGTTTTCAAGCAATTTTCTTTTCTAATTTAGGATTCCCACTGTGAGTATCTACCCACCAGCAGAAGGTCATTCGAACTTAAAAACAAACAAAAACAAATAAAAATGCATTTAAATTTTTAAACTGGTTGCATTTGGCCCTTTTCACCTTCTTGTGTTAATTTAGGGTAGCATATACAGCACACTTGTTTGTTTTTGTGTTGTTTTTTTTTTGCATGTGTGTATTGTTTTTGGTTTTTAGTGGCCATTCAGTTTTATTGCACATTTATTTAAGGGAAAAATTAGTAAATTTTTTTCTGTTAATTTACAAGGAATCAGGTTAGTTAACAGAAATGCACCTGCATAGAAACAATTCCTATCTTACATAAAGTCATGATTTGTGGATCATAAAAGACACACTACAAAATTTTCACTGGATAAAAGTCAGAAATTTGATTTATGACTTTCAATCCTGTCACTCACTGATTGTGTGATTTTGGATAAAAGAGAAAATTTACTCAGAGCCAAGCAATAACGTTTCTTGACACCACTGTGTTCTGATTTAGCAGCAATCCTGCCTGGGGACAGACCAACACTGTCAAGTGACCAGATGCTATTACCTGGTCACACTAACTTAATGGCTACACTCACCATGCACTGGTGAGAAAAGATTTCATCTCTGCTCATAATTATAAACAAGCATAAAAACTAGCAGAGTGATAAATGAGGCTCAGATCCTGTGATGATGTTCTAGGCAAATTCCATGTTGTTTGCATTATTTTAATTAGTTCATCAGTTTTACTTCGTTGCATTTAAACATTTTCATTTATTCTTGAAATCTTCTCTGTAGTCATCTCTTACCCATGTTATAACGTATTCAACTTTTATCCGCTTGGATGTGTCCCAGTACCATCTAGATAACCCATAGCAACATCCTTGGAGGATTCCATCATGGCGTACGAAAGACCTGAGTCCCTCCAGCTAACTGAAGAAGCTCACTCTTGCTACCCCTCTGCAGCCTGCCAGGGCTCGATGGCTGATTAGCCAAAGTTGTGTCTGTGGTAGAGCCTTGGCCCTTATGCCACATATCGACCAAAATATTGAAGAAAGAGATCAGTAGCAGAGCCAAGGTCACTACAATGAAGTTATGAATGGAGAAAAGTTATTTTGTTTTAAAAAATT